ATATATATATATATATACACACACACACACATACACACAAATATTCCAAAATCTGAAAAAATCCAAAACCTGATACACTTCTGATACCAACCATTTTTGATAAGGGTTACTCAACTATACTTCTGATATTTGTCCAGAAAACCTCAGGGGGTGGGGGACAAAGACATGGTTCATGGTGCCTATGGAAAAATACATATTTGTAATGTAGGCAAGGCAGAGGAGGAGGTATTTACATTTCTATAAACATCATACTGTCTGACCCTTTTATTATAAACACATTTTATAATCAATTAAAAGCAATTTTAGCTCTGGAAGTCTTAGCTCTACTGCAATGGCCAGTAGCTTAAATGATCCTTTCATATTTGATCCCAATATTTCCTTTTCCAGAAATTTCCATCCTCATATGTATGTATAGTCATCTGACCCATTTAAGTATCTATAAAATATGCCAAGGATGGCAGGATTTTATTGGAAATGGCGCAGTCCTGTAAAATTAAGACTGTCCTGCCCTGTACAAGTGAGTGAACTCATGGAGAGGGCCCTTTGTTAGGAAAATGCTATTTCTGGAAAAGCAAAAGTTCTATTCTTTTGGAATAGTTTTTATCTGACACTTTGATGTGATTTTGTGTGTGTGTGTGTGTGTGTGTGTATAATTCATACTGAAATTCTTTCAGATGAGAAAACCAGCAGATGAAAAATTAGAGAAATTTTGGATTGATTTCAACCTAGGAAGCCAGAGTGTGACTTTTTACATACACAGTGCTGAGGTAATGAGGGAGGGTTAATTCCTGACAGAACCCAAGCATTTACAGAGAACATATTTGTAAATGTGCTATGTGCTCATGGATTTCACTTGCTATCTTCCCAAGAGTGCTCTGTGGGAACCAGTCAGACTTGTGGAGGAAGCCGTGGTTAACTTCACCATTGCAGGTAAGATGATTTTAAACTGTGGTGTCCAGCATTTAGTTCTGAGTCTTATTATTGTTTGTGTGGACTTTGCGTGTTTAGTCAATTTCAGGGCAGATTTCATCTTCCTTTGCTAGGAGGATGTGTGGTAGGGCAGTGGAAGGGAAGACACACTGTGCATAGGACCATGATCTGGGGTCCCAGTGTTGGCAGCTCCTTGCTTTGACTTTGGAGTTCAGTTACTTTTCTGGTTTCTTCATTGTAAATATGGTTAAAGTCTTCAAAAGATTAAAGGCGGCCTGGTGTGTTGGTACATGCCTGTAATTCTAGCACTAGTAGGCTGAGGCAGGAGGATCTTAAATTCAAGCCCAACCTGGGTAACTTGATGAGACCCTGTTTCAAAATAAAAATTTAAAAGGGGCTGGGGAATGTTACTCAGTGTGAAGGCCCTAGGTTCAAGCTCTAGTACTGCTATTAAAAAGAAAAAGAAAAAGGCAGAAATGCCATACGACTCAGCAATTCCACTTTTACATATGCATGCAAAATAATTGAAAAGAGGGTCTAGAAGAGATCTCTGTAAATGTGTTGACTGCAACATTACTCAGAATAACTAAACAGTGGAGATAACTCAAACTGAGTAATAAATGGATAAAAATGAGATACATACAGAAACCACCAAATGTATACATACTTCAGGAAAAGAAAAACTTGTGAAAGTATTTTATTACTAAATGTACTGAGACATGGTGAGATTAACACAAGTTACCTTTGGCCTCTGCAATTACGAGAGGTGCTCCAAGAGGAGGCCATGAGCTTCCTGACCTGTGTAAGGATGGAGAATTCTGCGTGGATGACCTTGGTCACTGAGATCGCTGCACCTGCGTTTTCCATTTCTTTTCTAGGGGCCGGCAATGTAGGGCCTTTCTGTGATAAATGACATCATGTAGGTCTCGCACAGGAGGGTAACATCATCTGATGAAAAACTATCGTACTATTTTCCTTTTCCTGAAGTATCATTTTTTGGTTTTCTAGATCATATATATGTATCATACATGTAGGTATGTACACACACACGCGCGCGAGAGATATGTATATTCAACTTGGAAACGGGAAATTCCAACGTATAGTACAACCTGGATGAGCCTGAGAACATTACGCCCCAGAGACCCACTGTCTGATTGCACGCACGAGGTGTCCACAGTTGACCACAGCACGGAGTCGGAAGTGGAATGAACAGTGGTCGTCAGGGGATGTGGGAGGGTGAGGGGAGACACGGGGAGCTGTTGTTCAGTGGGCACAGTTTTCTTTTTGCGAGATGAAAAATTTCAGGAGGACTGTCGTGCGATGATGCGAACGTACTCAACACCACCACTTGATGCTTTCAGATATCAGTTGAAATTAAAATTTAAAAACAATAGTTAAAAAGGTAAATTTTATTTCACATAGGATTTTTTTTTGCGGGGGGCACAATTTAAAAAATGATTGTAGTGCATGTCCGGCCTCTCCCACAGAGTTCCAGGGGTAACAGGTGAGTTTCAGTGGGTCTGTGTCCCTTCTCCTGAAATCTCAGCCTTCAGCCCCCTCTCCCCTTAACCCTCCAGACCCCCTTCTGTCTGGTAGATGGTAGCAGGTATCTATAGACTTTTTCTGTAGCAGTGAGCATAGGTCTGTATTTGGAGAGACCACCGAGCTTTATGAGGCCATTCTATTTCTTCAAAGAAATAACACGTGAGTAGTATATTTATAAATGAAGATTTCTAACAGTCATATTAAAAATTGAGTTCATTTCAGTAATGGTCTCATTTAATTCAACATAGGAGGTATTATGGAATAGTATAAAAAGTTGAGCTGTACGTCCCCCTTGTATGCTACGACTTGACTATCTGACCTGGACGTTGTGCTGGGTCTCAGTCGGTTCCAGCCCCATTTCAAGCTCCCTGCTGCCCTGGGCAGTGTGTTCCGGACCTGTGTGTGTGTCGTTTGCTTCCTTCCGTTCACAGAGACTTGTGGCCCTTAACTTTACCAGCTTTTCCACGAACCTTACTCCCTTCTGTCCCGTGCTGTTTCCAGCCGACTTTGTACGCACTGTGGCTCATTCTTGAACTCTGTAAATTTCAGTCCGAGCTGTTTTTTTCTTTTAAAACTACCATTTGTCGGGGGCAACCTGGTAGGAGGCCCCAAAGCAAGCTTTTGATGGAGATGCGAGTCTCACCACAAAGTCTCCATGTCTTCTTGGAGGAGTCTTTTGAAACGGAGGTGGCTATTCCATTTAGTGTACTGAACTTTAGAAATAAACTCCCAAGAGAAAAGAATAAATATTGTGCCCAGTATATGTGGAAGTAGAATACCTGTTGTGTAAACATAATATGGTTAAACATTGAGTTGCTGAAGACAAACCTAGCTCCATTTCTTTGCCAGTAAGGAAAGCGCTTCCTATTGCTGAAAGTTCATCCACCTAATCATGTATCGTGTACGTAAAACATGGACACATATGTGCATCTCATACAGGAATTTCAGAGTAATTTTAATGAAATTTCTTTTCAACTTAGCAAAGTCTGGGCAGTTGACAGATCTCCAAGTACAGTTATTTAAAAGTATAAAAATTTAAGTGAAACTTTCAGTGTGTTGATATGCACGGTATACCATATTTTTGTAGAAAACGAGAAGGTGAAGATATTCATCATCTACCTGAAGGAGCCTATTGTCATCAGTAAGAAAGAAGTGATGAAAATAGAAATTCATTTTGATTTGCAAGTGCACATATCTCAAGCTTCTGTCCAAGCTTTAGGAGAAGACAAACAGGTAGCAGCTTCATGCTTATTGAGTATCTGAAAATATTGTATTATGCTTCATGTTTCATGACTCTTAAATGTCTTTTTTTTTTTGGTACTGGGGATCAAACTTTGGGTCCTTGTGCTTGTGAGGCAGGCAGCGGAACCACTGAGCTAAATACCCAGCCTGACTCTTAAGTTTCCTTGTTGGGTTTTGGTGAGAAGATTTGGTCAAGCAGAAGACCTGATCTTTAAAATCCGTGTAAACAGAGTCAAGAACTCTGGGCTCTTATCCGAGTTTTCCCTTTTCACACATCACCGCCTTAATCATGTGGAACACAGAGCCTCACAGTGCTTTCATGAGCTTTGTGCCGCTCTCTGTGAACAGCTGAAAGCTTTTCTAGGATGACATCACCTCCTCACAGATTCTTCCTGGAATCCGGAAGCTGTTCACTGGGCTTCTCGGCAATTCTCATGCTCCCAACTCTCCTGGCCCCCCGGGGTGTCATGAGGAGTAGGATTCCACAGGATTTTCCCAAAATTCTCTCTACTGGTCTTAGCTTGTGGGAATGGTGTGCACCTGTTACAGGTTGCTGTTGTGCCCATCTCTCTGACTTCCCTATTTGTATACAAGAACAAGAGCCTTTCTCTCAGGGACAGTAGGCCAGGCAAAGAAATTTATGGTACAAAATACTGGGGGGAGTGGGTGATAAGTTGAATGAAAAGGTGGGACACTCGGGGAAGTCTTTTGCTCTGAAAATAGCTTTCTGAAGACTCAAGGGTGAGGAAGAGAAATGAAAGGAGAATTAAACAGAGCCACTCCCGCAGCTGCCCATTCATCCGGAAAAGGGTGAATCCCCTCAGGCTGGAGCTCTCCTGGTCACACCTCCCACAGACCCTGCCTCTCAGAACCCTGTACTGGGGCTCCCTTCTCTAAGGCGTGAAATCTCAAACCATGGCAAATGTGAAGACACCAGGAGAGAGAGGGGTTGAGGGCAGGGTAATAGCCAGAGTTGCTGCTGAGGGGAGAGGGAGGTAAGGGAGACAGAAACAATCCTGTGAGAGAGGGCAGTCAAATGCTAGCTCCTGCTTTTTAAAGTCACATGGCTTTTGGCTTGTGTTTCAGGTGTTGCCTGATCAGATGAAAATCTCCTCGGAGCCCTTAAATAAGTTTGAGAAGGAAGACAATGAGATTCCTAGTAGCCTTGAAAGACAAACAGGTAAATTGGGAATTATCAAAACTCTTACTCTGAATTTTCCATAAAAGCACTGATAAAGCCTTGCTGGTGTCAGAGACCCCTGGAAATCTGTGGTTATGGGAGCAGTAAGTGGGGCTGGGGTCTGACTCGGGGACAGGGTCCTTGGCTAGCATGTGCAAGGCCCCAGGATCTACCTCAACACCACAAAAATAGTAAGAGTATGAAGGAAAAGCTGTTAGTAGCTTTGAGTCATTTTTCCCCACCTCATGAAGTCTTGCTTTGGGGTCAGTTGGAAATGGCAAAGGAAGGACAAATGCTGGGGGTGACAGAGGTGGGCAGGGGAGGTCCCGTCTGCAAAGAAAGCCAGTCTCTCCGAAGTTTCTTCCCAACTGCCCTTGGATATCTTATTTGAGGTCTGAGGCAGAACCTGACTACCCGCTCTTCCCTAAAAACAGTGAGGAACCAGAGGCCAATGTCCTGTGACGAGCAGTGGAGAATGTCAGTGATGCACGCTGCTGATGTTGTTATAAATGTTCTTTTCTTCGTCCTATAGAACAGGCAGAAGAATCCAATGAACCGGCAGAGTCCATGAGCGCCGGGGAGGACCGTTGTGTGGTAACTCTCCTCTCGGGCACGCAGTCCTGGCCTCCCGTGAGTACAGCACGGTGGGAAGCAGGTGGCACCTGCCAAGCAGGCACCTTTCTCCCTGACTTGCAGACCCCTTGCTCCTGGGCCAGCCTCTGGTGATATTTTTACCCTCTCCTCTCCTAGATTTCTTTTCTCTGCTGAGTTTACGTATTCTTCCCTTATTCAACTTGGCTTCCCGTAAAATGCCTGACTTGGTTGGCTTCTGTCTTCTCATTCACTCATTTGGATCTGGAGACCGCTGTCTGGGAAGGACCTGATATTTGGCATTAATTAATATCACTGCTCTAGGGACTGCACATTATAATGGGGGTAATAGCGAGGTCCTAAGAGGTCCTTCATGGGATTTAAAAAAGGGTTCTAAATTACAGCTAGACAGGAGCGAGAATGCTGGTGTGATACTCATAGTAGGATGACTGTAGATAACTGTGCATCTCGGGAAGCTAGAAGAAAAGGTTTTGAATGTTTTCACCATAAAGCAATGGTAAATGTTGAAACAGGTATGCTTCACCAGGTTGAAATACTTCGTAATGTATACATGGAACAATATTAATATGTATAATTTCTATATATCAGTTTAAAAACTTAAAAATATACACAAACCTACTTGGCATATCTATATATATATATGTGTGTGTGTGTATAAAGATATGGCTATGTCTGTCTATATAGATACTACAATCTGTTTCTTGCAGCAAAGGAGTACAGCTGATAGTTCATCTGAAAAATCAAAAGTGGATGATACTCAAGGTCTGATATGTTTTGTCTATTGTAAAAAAGACCCAAGTAGTGTGTGAAAATATTTACTCAAGGGTTAATGATTTTTGTTTTAAAATTTGGTTTTTAGAAGTTACTTCAAAACATGAGTACTCTTCAATTGTACAAGAACAATCCGTCCAAATTCAGACTCCTAAATTAGGTGACGAATCTAAGTAAGTGCATTTTTTTGTTGTTGTATTGTTTTGTCTTTAACTGACATATAAAAATTGTCTATGGAGTAAAGTGTGTTGTATCCACTGTGAAAGGTTCCATCGTGGAATTTAGTGTATCTATTTTAAACATTAATTTGTGTGGCAAGAACACTCAGAATCCTCTCTGCTAGTTTTGAAATATAGACAACAATATTGATAACTGTCCTTGCCCTCTGTGCTACAGAACACGAGAACTTACTACTCGTGTCCAACTGTAAATTGGTCCTCATTGACCAGTGTCTGCCCTCAGTCACCCTCCTCCCGCCGGGACAGCACCAGCCTCTGGTAACCTGATTCTTCTCTCCCTCTGTGAATCCAACTGTTTTGGATTCCACATAGAAGTTTTGGTTTCCATATATAGCATTTATCTTTCTGTGACTGTTTGATTTCACTTAGCAGAATGTCTTCCAGTTCAATGTGATAGATTCCATCTTCTTGTGGCCCAGTAGTATTTTCCTGTATATTGGTCCTTACCACAGTCTCATTTTCATGTTTTGATGGGCGCTCAGGTTGTTTCCATGCCTTGGCTAGTATGAAATTAATAACCACACAGATCATTGCTGATGTGAGCACTACATGTCCACAATCTAGATTTTCCCCCTTTCCTGCACCTGGCCACCCCTCCACTGAGGGAGAGCATTGCATCAAGTCTTCTGCAGAATGATTCGAGTGATGTTGGCACGTTCCCCTGACCCACGGACTTGCTTTAGACTTGCAGGGTTACTATCGGCAGTGTATTTTTCTGCAGCAAAATGCTGAATTTGAGATTGAGGGACCAAAGGTCAATATACAAAATCAATGTTCTTTCTATGTGCTAATCAGACATTGAAATAAAAACCACTGCCATTTACAATAGTGTTAAGATACGATTCATTTAGGCTGTTGACAAATATTTCTAAGCATCTCCAAAACATATATACTGAAAACTGTAGGACATTGGTGAGAGAAATTAAGGAAGATCTAAAAAAAGAGAAATTCTGTGTTCATGGGATGATGGAAGCCTCGATAAGTGTTGGTTCTTCTGAAAATTGATCTAAGGATTTAATAAAATTCCAAGTTCATTTTTTGTTTCTTTGTCTGGTACCAGGGATTGAACTTGAGTCATTGCCCTTGAGAAGCAGGCACCAGAACCACTGAGCTAAATCTCCAGCCCAAAATTCTAAGTTCAAATCCTTGTAGTTTAAAATATATATTTAAAATTTCACATGGAAATTTTTTTCCATTAAGTTTATTGGTACATTTTAGGTATGCAGGTACATTCATCATTGGGATCTCGTACCTTTACATGATGTGTCTTGGTTCTTATTTTATCCCCATTCCCCTGTCTTCCCTTCACCCACTCTACCCTTCCCTGTTTACAAAGATCTTGTTCCTATTTTTTCATTTTCTCATTTTTTCTCTTCCCTCCTTTCCTTTCCCCTACCCCTCCTAGTTCCCCTACTCCTTTGGATCTTTTCATCCTATTTCACTTTATTGATTATACATTTTGATCCTTATTTACACTTTGAGGTTTTCACACCAGAGAAGCTATTTGGTATTTTCACATATGTGTATGATTATTTCACTTAAAAGTATGGCCTCAATGTGCATCCACTTAGCTATGTCTCTAGTTTCTCATTCTTTATGGCTGAGTAGTGCTCCATTTTATTAAAACAAACACATCTTCTTTATCCAATGTCCAGTGGATGGGCAATTGGGCTGTTTCCAAGCTTTAGCTATTACAAACTATGCCACTATAAACAGGTGTGCATATATCACTATGGTATGATTCTTTTAATTCTTTTGGGAAGATACCCAGCAGAGGGATGGCTGAGTCAAATTGGCCCTCTAATCCTAGCTCTTTGAGGTATCTCCATATTGATTTCCACAGTGGTTACACCAGTCTGCACTCCCACCAACAATGGAGAAGGGTTCCTTTCTCCCCACAACCCCGCCAACATTTGTTATCAATTGACTTGTTGAGAGCAGCCATTCTTTGGGTGGTGAGGTGGAATCTCAGTGTTGTTTTCTTCTGCATCTCTCGAATGACCAGTAATGTTGAGCTTTATCATATGTTGATCTGCTTCACATGGAAATTTAAAGAACCAAGGGTATCTGAATTTCAGAAAGAAAGTGCAAGGGCTGACATATTACCTGCTTTCAAGATTTACTATAAAGCTACCTTAATCAAGAGTGTGGTATTAGCAGAAAGATAAATAAAACATGCTAAAGTCCCTACAAAGGCCCATATATAGTGGATAAAAGTGCAAAGATAATTCAGTGGAGAACAGATTTTTCAATAAATAGTGCTAGAACAATGGACTATCTTGAATGAAGAAAAAATGACCTGTACTCTTACATTTCACATAAATTATAAACTCTTTGAAAATGAGAAAAATCTTTGCAGCAAAGATTTCTTAGGTGTATAACACAAGACTCCACAAAAGAACAAATTAATAAATTGGATTTCATTAAAACAGAGCAATCTATACTCTGAAAACCACTGTCTGGTGAAAGAGCTAGCTACAGCCTTGCTGACAATGTAAGGGACCTGTACGCAAAACCTATCAGGAACTCTCAGAAGTCAATAGCAAATGTACAACCCTATAAAAATATAGGCAATAGATTTGAACAGCTGCTTCAAGAAGAAAAAAAATACAGCAGATGACACCATTTATTATTAGGGTAGTGTAACTGAAGAGTAATGAGATGCCCGACACCTGTTTATAGCAGCAAAATTCGACTGTACCGCCTCTGAGTCAGACTGCAGCAAGTGGAACTTCCATGCTGCTGGTACTTTCTTAAAAGGTTGAGTCCACGCCCACCCTATGATCTAGCTGTTCCTATTCTAGACACTTTCTCAAGAGATTGTCAGCAGATGTCCCTACACAGGAGTGCTGGTGAACGAAGACACCAGCTTTGTAAGAGCTCCAAACCAGAAAGGGCTCTCATCTTGTGCAGATCGAGTGTCTCTTGTCCTAAATGCCTGACAACAGGATGTTTCGGATTTCGGATTGTTTTCAGACTTGGAACAGCTGTGTATACGTGGTGAGATATCTTAGGGATGGGACTAAGCTGAAACAACTCATTTTTGCTTCACAGTGTATCTCTTACACAGCCTACAGGTAAGAGTTTTTGTTTTTTTTACAATACTGTTTTTCAGTGCCCGCATTTTGACCATCCCACCACTTGAGGTCAGGAGTGGGCAGTGTCGGTGCTCAGCAAGTTTTGGATTTAGGAGCATTTGGAGGTTTCCAGAGTAGAGATACTCAAACTGTATATTGACATCTTGGTTTCAGTTCCTTTGGCTGCATGTCCAGAAGTGAGACTCCTGAATCCTATAATAGTTCTGTAATCTTTTGAGGTATTTGAGTGTTGTTTTCCATAACAGTGACTCCTTTTTTTTTCCACCAGCAGCATTAAAGGGGCTCCAGTTGCTCCATGTCCTCTCCAACATTCATTTTTTAAAAGACTGATATCAAACCATATATAAGGTTAACATTAAAAGTATGTAAGTAACTCACAGATCAAAGGCAGAAAACCAAATGACTCAAGAACTAGGAAAAGGACCCAAATGGACAGGTCTTTGAAGGAGGCACACGAAAGGCCAACAGGTGTGTGGAAAGATGCTCATCCTCACTGGGCACCTGTGGACACACCCCGTGGTTCCTGGGTAGGACCGGGCTTACTGCCAACAGCCTGGTCCTTGTAGGTCGCACCCTGCTTGTCTGTTCTTCGTGTGTCCGACAAAGAGCTCGACAGAAAGTTGTTTGGCCTTAAGTAAGCAGTCGTCATCCGCCCACGAAGCTACAGAAATAGATTCTAGGATAAGTTCAGTCTGCAGATGGGGAAATCTGAGCTCTGTTCATGGTCAGGCAAAGGGCACAAAAGAGGGAAAAAATTAGAGCCGTGAACTGAGGCAAAGAGGGTGGTGGAAGTACCAGCTCTCTTCATGTGATGCCTTTTATTGTAGGGAAGACTCTGCTTCTGAGGATGACACAAAACAAGGACGAGGGGTGTCAGACACACAGAAAAAAAGGACACCGGTAATAATTTTTGTTATTTTAAGGTGATGTTCCTCAAATTTCAGTAATTTGCATACAGCCTTCAAAATGTGCTATAGCCCCACTGTTTATCTAATTTTTTTAATTATATGAATTACTTCAATTTCAAATGGAGAATCAGCATTATTTCTAGCAAATAGGCAAACCCCCCACATGAATAACAATTGAAAATAATGTTAAACTATGGAGCTCCACTTTTATATGACGTATTTTCTATTTTTAAATCCATTTTGTGCAGCAGGCTTTATTAACCATGAACTCTGAAAAGGCAAATCTGCCGGAGCCCGGCTTTGTGCAGTGGTTGAACAGATGAGAAGAAAACCTGGCAGAAGGGTGATGTTTCATGTTAAACCCTATTTGTGGGCAAACAGGTAGTGGAGAATTTGAAGATGAGCTCCTCCACTCAGTCCCTTCCCACTGTAGCAAGCGAATTCTCCCTTCTTGGATTGGCCCCCTCACTTTAGATGATGGGCAATGGGTCCGGTCCCCTACCTGACTGAGTTCCAGAGTGGGAGAGGGGAGACATTGCCATGGTAACCAACACTTAAACTCAGATCTATGAGAAAGGGAGATCTATCAGGGTAGGCTGCCTCACCAGCACAGGGTCCCGAGTTCGATACCTAGTACCAAAAAATTAAAAAAGGACACTTGGTGTTCCCCTCCTTAAAATACTTTTTTGATTGGTTAGATTTTTGAACCTCACCCTGTTCTTGCTTTGTTGTAAGAAAAAATATTAGTAAGCAGAAAAGAAGCCACCTAAGACTTATCCTGACAAGATCAGGTCTATTAGATAGCTGTAAAGGATGTTTCATCAGTGCAGCGACATGGTTTTGTGTCTTTATGAGCTGAACGACCCCTGTCCAGTGAGTCGCTGCTGCTGGCCTTTCTCTTTGGAAAGCATAGCGCTCTATGTGTGTAGTTAGTGTATTTAAAAAATCTCCAGTGGTCATTCTATGATAGGCTTTTCTAAAATTGAGATCATGAGTTGCACACAAATAGGATAAACCCCTAGAAAGCTTTCTTCTGGCAATAGTTCTGATGTGCTGCTGTTTGAGCTTCAAATTGTCTTCAAAAAATAGTGAAATTTGTGTCCCTTCTGAGACTTGGACTTTATTCCCACACTTTGGAATTTTAAAAATAAAGCCTCTTTCTGGTGATTCAATCATATGTGAGGGCCCTTGCTCTAGGCACTCTTATTTTTGTTAATAACTTCACATATCTTTTGATGTAAAGCCAGAGAAACTGGGAAAGCCTTGCTGCATGGTTCTTAAGGTGGATGCATTAAATGAAGAATGCTTGTCCTTTGTAAGACCCTGGGCTGAGCTCTAGAACAAATTGCAGGGCTCCACAGCCATTTGGGGTTTCCCCTTAAGGGTAAGAGGCAAGTGAGTGTGGCTCACAAAGTTCCTTTTAGAAGTCACTCTAATCAGGATGGATGGTAACAGGAGTGTGGTTCTTATGCACACTGGATCCTCAGCCTTACTAAAAAGGGAATCCTGTCTCTTGTGACTGCTTAGATGAGGATGGAGGACGCCATGTCAAACGAAATAAGCCAGACACAGAGAAGTCCCGCATGATCTCACTCATGTGGAATTTGGAAAAGCTGAACTCGTAGGAAGTGTTTACCGGGTGGGTCTTTGGGATTGGGTATGGGGGTGACGTTGATCAAAGGTAACTATTCCTTTAGACAGGAGGAATAAATCTGAAAGATCTATTGTATGTTGCAATGATGGTACTTAATATAAATACTTGAAAATTGCTATGAGGGTAGGTTTTAGGTGTCTTCTCCACAAATAAGTGAAGTGATATGTATGATCAATTGATTTATTCGACAATGTATACACGCATCATTACATCATGTACACCATAAATGTATACACGGGTTTCTCGTTTAGAGTGATTACTACAAAATGCTAAAGAGTGACTAAGCAATTTAAAAGAGAAGTTAATGGGTCATTTAAAAGATAAATCATCACGCACCTTACATGTTACGTGAAATGACATCACCAGCAAGTGAAAGCGTGGTCCAGGGTTACTCGAGTGGCCTCAGGAGCTGACTTGGCTTTTGACCACCTCAGATGCGGGTAAAGCCGCTGGCTGATGTGTTTTCCATTTGAGAAGTCTCTGCAATATTTTCACTACTTAATATCCCCTCTGGCCTGAATGAGAATTGTTACCACTGAATGGTGGAGGCTTTGAAAAGGCCAGATGTGTGGGGACCAAGTCCTTGGAAACACTCAGCAGAACTCAGTGTGCTTTTCTGTTAAAATAAGAAAAAAATCCTCTATATAAAGCTTTTTTTTTTTCCTTTGATTTTTTGAGACAGGGTCTCACTGTATAGTTGAGACTGACCTGGAACTCACTATGTAGCCCAGGCTGGTCTCGAACTCACAGCGATCTTCTTGCCTCAGCCTCCCAAGTGCTGGGATTACAGGTGTGTGCCACCATGTCCGGCCTCTAAAGCATTTTTCATCACAGCATTTATAAAAAATTAATGCAAAAACTGAAAAAGATTAAAATATATAGATGTCAAAATACAGTTGAGTCACTTACCGGAAGAGATTAATCTTATAGTAAATGTCTAACGTCTTATAGGCTGGGCTTAATTTCCAAATGCTTTGAGCTTGAAACAAAAATTATCACGTTTGGGTTTAGTTCTTTGGGTGTCTTCGCAAAACATTTTTATAGTTTATTTTGTCACTTGAGTTTGTGCTTTGAACTTGTAGCACTGGCACAATATTCAGGTACAGCTGCTTTGAGATGACATGTAGCTGCTGTTCAGTTGCAAATAGGCCTGCAAAGACAATTTTGTCATCCTTGACAGCAGATTGGGAATTGATTCATGAAATAATCTTTGTTCTTCTCCTTTCTTCTGTGCTTTTTTATTATGGAAGACAGCCCAGTCTTCTAGGAGTTTCTTTTATGTCTAATAGTAATGTGTTTAAGATACAATATGCATATTAATATGTTTAATTGCACATATATTAACAGTAGCACCCATTTAGAAGTTCTCAACTGTTTGTAAAAGTCTGACTACAGGAAACATCTCTTTTCTGAGAAGGAGCACGATTCAAGTTCTAGTACCAGTGAACTCCCCTGGACCAGTAACCAGAAAAGGAAATCCTTAAAATCATACTCCAGCAGAAGAAAGATGAGAGAGAGAAGCAAGATGAAAAGTAAGTGTGGTGCTTGTCTTCCTTGGGGTCATTTCTCGCTTAACAGGTTTTTATTTTTCAGCATGGGAGAGGGAACCAAAGAAACATGAGCACATGCCCTCCTTTCCTGTTACAATTACATTGGAAAGGTAAGATGCATGTGCCTGAAACGGATTATTATGGGATTGGCTGCCCACTGTCAAATGTGAGTTGTGGGTAAATGGAGTAGGGGCTCAGATAAGAATCTGGCATGAGCTGGTATTATTTTCAAGGGAGAGGTAGGTGGGATTCCAGCGAGTTCTTGGGAAAAGAATAGGATTTGAAGAGCTCAGAAAAGGGGAAACACTTGGGTTAAACTACTAAGATGAAACAGGGATATATGGAGGCGATTTTTAGGGACAAGATTTGGAGTAGAGAATTCCTGCTGAATGGTGAACAAGGTCAAATAATTGGAAAGAGATCTTAAAGGTGGGCACTCAAGCAAGGTATCACAGTGGAGATCGCTCTCACTGTTGGTGTGTATAACTGGGAAAGGGCAAAGTGGAATTTTATTGTAATGTATATTACATAAATGCATTTCACTGTGACAAGTCTAAAACATGAATGTATTATGCTTTGGTCATGTCTAGGAGTGAATTTCCACATGTCTCATAAATGTAATTTCTTTCATTTTTTAGTTTTGCCACTTTTCCCTCACAGTAGTGGCAGTGAACATGAGGAAGGTCAAGTAAGTAAATTTGATTGGGCTGCTGTGGATCTTTATGGGTTAAACTGCATTTATTTCTCAAAAAATATCTCCCAGAATAACCATGGTCTACTGGTATGGCAATCACTGTCAAGAGGAACTACAGGGACTGTTGAACATTTTTAGGAATCTTAGCTAAGGACTTGGGATCTGTTGTCATTGTTCACAAATGTTGCTGAAGGATCCTTATTCTGGAGGATGATAAACATCTTAGCTGTTCTGATTTCAGACAGAGATATGCTCTTTTGAGTTTATATTTTAAGGTAAATGTAGTGGTTTATTCTCCCTTCAGTTTTCAATTTGTTGACATGTTACTTCCAAAGCTTGTGATGCCTTAGCATTTAAGTCTTCATTTTGCAAGTGGTTAAAATGTCTTCTGGCTTACAGAAATACTGAATAAACACTGGAAGTGTCTTATTTTCCCTAGTTTTGTATCAAGGACTTCTGAATATGAGCTGGGCGTGGTGGCACATGCCTGTGATCTCTGAGAAGCTCACACAGAATTGTTACATTTGCGTCCAGCCTGGGCAACCTGATGATTTAGTAAAAGTTTCAAAATAAAAACTGAAAAGAAACAAACTCAAACTGAGGATGTCGTTCAGTGTAAAGTCCTGAGTGTAGTCCCCAGTGTGGCACTCTGCTCCCTGTCCCCCCAACCCCACAGCAATGTCCTTTGGACCAATTCAAAACCAAATTTTGAGTCTTTATTGGCTGAATTACTTCTCTTAGCATTTGTTTCCTGTTTCTTGTCAAATGAGATACACAGACTGCAAAGCACCTTGCCAGCTCCCTGTGGGCTTTGCAAGGGGCGACGGCTGTGTTCCGAGGGTATCAGCAGCCCTCTGCCTTCCTTTGCAGAAAGGACATTGTGGGCAAGGGCTCCAAGTACAGCTCCATTTGCCTGGTCAGCCAGCAGTGCACTGCCCTCTGGGAATCTAAAGGAGTTTCACATTGTGCAAGGACAGAGACTTTACTAAACCTGTGAGTCAAAGTAAGTAGATAACCCTCCATATCTGTGAGTGACTGGTTCCAGGATTCTCTTTGGACACCCAACTCTGGATACTCAAGTTCCGCATAAAATGGCAGAGGGTTTGCATATAACCTGAAATACTTATCCTCACGTAAATCCTTATATATTACTTATAACACCTAGTGAAACGTACATATTATAGTTAAACTGTGATGTTTAAAAAGTAAGACCAAAAAATATTCTTTTTTTTTTTGAGACAGGATCTTACTATGTAGTCGAGACTGACCTGGAACTCACTATGTAGCCCAGACTGGTCTTGAACTCACAGCGATCCTCCTGCCTCGGCCTCCCAAGTGCTGGGATAACAGGCATGCGCCACCACACCCGGCTGACCAAAAAATATTCTTTTTTTTTTTGAGACAGGATCTTACTATGTAGTCGAGACTGACCTGGAACTCACTATGTAGCCCAGACTGGTCTTGAACTCACAGCGATCCTCCTGCCTCGGCCTCCCAAGTGCTGGGATAACAGGCATGCGCCACCACACCCGGCTGACCAAAAAATATTCTTTATGTAGAGTGCAGTCACTATGCTTTTTTGAATGCTTTTGAGCTGTAGTTGGCTGAATTTGTAGGTGCTGAACCCATGGATAAGGAGGAGTAACTATATTTAACGCACTCCTGCTGGCTTGAACCACAGGAGGTATGTGCAATGCTGTCTCAGGTGGCTTGTCCTGTGGCAAGTGGGACCATGCCACAGCACCTGATGGGACAGTCACGCGTGGAACACTGGTGGTTCAAAGCCACCCAGCAGTGAGGCATGCGAGTTATGGCCCCATTGTGAACGTGTTCACCATTTTGTTGATGAGTTCAAATTGAAATAATAAGTTATCAATTAGAAATGGACCAAAGAATAGACACTGGTAAATATAGTTCTGGTTTTCAATAGGTACCAAAGAAACATCACAGATTTGAATTCATAAGTGCAAGTTAGGCATCACGTAAGAAGTCTGTGCTGATTTTTAGTGATGATATTGCTGACTTTCCATTCCCAACACACTTCTCTGCTGGAGTAAAATGGAATAACTTTAAGGGTGGGCAAGCTTTCTGTAAAAGGCCAGATAGTAAATATTTTACATCTGTGAGCCATACTGACTCTGTGGCAACAGATTAACTCTGCCTTTAGCTTGAGAGTTGCCTTTGATGACATGGAAATGAGCATTGAACTGTGTTCCACTACAAGTTCATTACAAGAACAGACGCTGGGTTGCAGCTTGCCAACTTTCGATTTAGAGCAGTGGCACTCAAACTGCACTGCTCCTCAGAAGGACTGGGATGCCATATTAGCCTATAAATTGCTGTGTCCTTCTCAAGGGTTTCTGATTGAGTAGGTTATAGGTGAGTGAGACTTGGGAATTTGGATTTCTATCAGGTTCCTTTGTGTTTCTGATACGCTGGACTTTACCCACACTTTAAGAAACACTGACCTAGAGTTTTTATTTGAAATATGACCTAAATGTTCTTGCAATTCTGGAGTCTATGGTTCAGTGCTTATTTTTTAATGTGATAAATCTGATACTTAAATTTCTTAAAAGGATATTCAAATGTCTTGGAATTTTTGATAACTTTAATACTTATTATGTATTATGTTTTAGGCTAAACTTCTAACACCAGTATGGAAAGACAGCTCCAGACAAAACAGTGCCACACCTTCAGAAATGTCTGGAAGAAAACTCCAGGGTAGTTCTGCCTTTTTAAGTCTTGAAGATTCTGTGCAGAAAACTGGTAAATGATTTTCTGTTGTTTTATATAAAAAGAAATTAAATTTGTGGATAAGTATTCTGATATGAGAAAAGGGTGAAGAAATAATTTTTCTCTTTAATGTCTCCAGTTAAGCTATGACATACCAAAATTTGTGGAATAGCCAAAATGGTACTGAGAAGGAGATTTATAGCAATGAGTAGCTACATCAAAGAAATAGAAAGAATTCAAATAAATAACCAAAACAATGCATCTAACATGGGAAAGCAAGAACCAGTCAAACCCAAACTACTTAAAAGGAAAGAATGATCAGAGGAGAGACAGGAAAAAAAGTGATCAATAAAAAGTTGGCTGTTTGAAAAGATAAAGCTAAAAAAAGCCTTTAGTTTGACTAATGAAGAAACTTGAGAAGACCCAAATAGTAAAACTAGGAGTAAAAAGGAAGACATAACTGATACAACAGAAATACAAAGGATCATTCATAATTATTAAAAACTTGATCACCAAATTGGAAAATGGACCCATTGGAATGGAATGGATGCATTTCAAGGTATATATGACCTATGAATGTTGAGCCATGAGGACATAAAAATATGAATGAACCAAGAACAAATAATGAGATTGACTAATAAAATCCAGCAGAGAAGCCCAGGACTGGATGCCTCCAATGCTAAATTTTACCAAACTTTTAAAAAAAGACCAATGCTTCTCAAACTATTTCATAGGGTAAAAGGGGAGAAAATACTTCCAAACTCATTCTGTGAGGCCAACATTATCCTATTATCAAAACCTTTCAAAAGCAAACAAGAGAGCTGTAGACCAGCATCCCTGTGAAAAGAGATGGAAAAGTTATCAATGAGATTTTAGCAAATCCTGCTGTCTAGTATACATGATACCCTAGATTCAATCTCTAGTAGCCCACCAACAAAGCAAAGAAAATAATATCAAACAAAATCTAGCAAATTGAATTCAGTAGCACATCTAAAGGATAATTCATCATGACTGTGTTGCTAGTCAGTATATTTGTGCTGCCTCCTACCTGCCACCCTCCTTTGCCATACTGCCCTACCTTGGAACCAGTTCATTATGGAATGAAGCTTCTACAAACTGTGCACTAAAATAAACTTTTTCTCCTTTAACTTGTGTATCAAATTTTGTCCCTGCAATGAGAAAAGTAAGATATCCAACAAATATACAGAAAAATGCTCAACCTCAGTAGTCATCAAGGAAATGCAAATCAAAACCATGATGAGATACCATTTCACCTCAGTTAAGGTGGCTATTATCCAGATGGGCATCAGTGCTGGCAAAAATGTGGAGGTGAAGGAATTGGAATATACTGTTGGTGGGAATGTAAGTCAGGACAGTTACCATGGAGAACAGTGCAGTGATTCTTTAGAAAATTAAAAATCTATCATATGAGCCAGTTTTCTACTTGATAGGTATCCAAAGACAGTAAGAGGAGCCAAAGAGGTGCCTGAATGTGCCCATGTTTATTGTGGCTCTGTTCATAATATCCCTTGTGTTCTGAATGCTTGCAATGAATTATTCCTGAAAAAGGAATCAAGAAAATAATCCCATTTGTAATAATATAAAGAATAGAATATTTAGGAATACATTTAACCAAGGAGGCAAAAGGCCTGCATACTCAAAACTTATAAGGCATTGAGAAAATTGAAGACACAAAGGAAAAGCTATCCCATGTTCATGGATTGGAAGAATTAATATCAAAATGTCCATACTATTCCACAACACAGATCTATTCCACAGATTCCACACAATCTATCAAATTTTTGGTTGTTTCATCAAGAACAATCCTAAAATTTGTATGAAACTGCAAAAGACCCTAAATAGCCAAGAATGACACAGGTGGGCACATCATACTCTGATTTTAAACTGTATTACAAAACAAAAATTGGCATATATGGGCACAGACTGATGAAGTGGAAAAGAGAAAGATCAGTAATAAAACCAACTAATCTTTGAGAAGGATGCTGAGTGCATAGAGACAGTCTGTTCAATAAGTGGTGAGAAAACTGGATGAAAATAATGCAAGTGGACCCTTGTCTTACATCAGGTAAAAATTAAATGGATTAGGATTGTAAGTATAATACTGGAAACTAATCTCTTAGGAAAACAACTGTGTTTTGATGTTTGATACAAGGTCTCATAAAATTGCACAGGCTGGCCTTGAACTTGCAGTCCTCCTGCCTCATACTTCCACGTAGCTGGGTTACATGTGTGCACCACTGGCCCTGGCTGAACCAGCTCCTTGATATTGGTTGTGGCAATTTTTTTGGTGATATATCAAAACCTAGCAGCAAAAATAAGTGGGATTGTAACAAAACAAACCCTGGCAGCAGAGGAAACATCCACCAACCTGTAGAATGGAGAGACATTTACAAACCACGTATCTGATAAGGTGTTAATATTCAAAGTATACTGTATAGGGACTCCAGTATTTAGCTCAGTGGTGCCACCACCTGACTCACAAGCTCAAGGTCCCCAGTTTGCTCTCTGGTACCAAAAAAAAAAAAAAAACCCCAAAAAACACACAGGACCTCCTCCCCAAATCCAAAATATACTGTATAAGGAACCCAGAAAGCTCAATAGCAAACAACCAAATTACCCAATTAAAAATGAGCAAAGTAATTGAGTAGACATTTTTCCAAAGAAGACAAATGTCTAAGTGAGAAGATTACTAGTCATCAGGGAAATGCAAATCAAAACCACAATGAGCCATCACTTCCTTTTAAGATGGCTGTTATGAAAAAAGTAATGTGGAGAAACACTTCTACACTGTTGATGGGAATGTAAATGGGTACTTCCATTGTAGAGCACTGTGTGGATGCTCCTTTACTGACTGAAAAAAACACCCTTTGGGTTATGCAACCAATATCTAAAGAGCTACCTGTATTCCTATACTCACTGAAGCATTATTCTCAGCAGCCAAGATATGGAAACAGGCTAAATATCCATCAGGGGATAAATGTATGAAGAAGATGAGGCAAGTTCCATAATGAAATAGTATCTTCTGTATTCCATGACAAGAAAACTCTATTTGTGGCAAAATGGATGAACTTAGAGGACTTTATCCTAAGTAAAATGAATCAGACATGGAAAGACAAATACAGTATGTACAACCTCCTTTATAATTGGAATCTACAGTAGTCAAACTAATAGAAGCAGAGAGTAAAGTAATGGAAGGAGAGAAGAGAATCACAGAGTTGAGGCTGTAGAAACTCTGCCCATGTATTTGGAGCCAGAAGGGCAGATACTAAGGCTGCTGAAGTAGTTGAGGTAATTGACTTTCCATTTTATCTACAGGCCCACATACCTAATAGTTATGCATACCCTGAAAGGTATAAAGCTTTTTGTTTTATTTAAGACCATGCCCCCTCCTTTTATGATAAGATTTTATGATGAGAGGAATAGTGAAAGATTATTTACCTTTGTTTCTTTGGGTGCTTATTCACTTGAAACTGTTTTCTCTCATATTCAGAACTTCCAAGTCCCCACCCACCGAGTGATCTATCTGCCTTGGAGTACTCAGAAGTTGAAGAAAACATGTCTCAGGTATTATTTAATTGTTGCTTGGCTGGTTTTCTAAAATTAAAATTTTTATTTGCATAGCATAATGGTACATTCTTTTTTAAAGGAATGCTATAGCACCACTTCATTCTAAATAGCTTATCTCTACAGTCATTCCATGTGCGTTCTATATTTTCTATATATCCTGTTTGTGTTTTAGATTATAAACCAAGAGTCATTAATGGAAAATACAGGATTCAAACATAAGCTGGCAAACTTGGAAGACAAAGGTAAGAGAATAATAAACATTTTGCTGAACAGAGTGCAATTAATCTGGGCCATTATTCAGGTTGCAGCAGATAAAAATCCTCTTAGAGGATCCAGACTACTGCCTGGGCACAGAGGCAGCCGTGCAAGGAGTTTACTGGCTCCAAACGTTCACCAGGGCCCAAGGGATAAACAAGGACTCCAGTCAGAAGCAGAATCACTCGTGCAGAGAGAGAGGAGGCTGGGGACCTGGGTCCCTCCACCTGGCCAGGCCACCTGCATAGCCTCTGAGAGGAGACATGAATGTGCTTCTCTGAGGATCTGGTCTGGGACTTGCTCTATCCCCATGTAAGCAGGATGCTTCTCCATTTGTAAGAAGTATTCTAAGAGATGGGACCAAGTTATTAGAAGTTCAGAATTCATTTTCTCATGGTAACAGCAGTACAGAGATTTCCGGGCTAGTTTACAATGTTGTATTCGGAAACCAACATATAATATGTGGATATTCATGAATAGGTATGCGATATAATCATTTAGCACCTAATTATTTATGATCTTTCTCAACTGCATATTTTCTTTACCTTTTTTTTTTTTTTTGGTACCAGGGACCAAACTTGGGGCCTTGTGCGCATGAGGCAGGCGGCGGAACCACTGAGCTGAATCCCTAGCCTTACATTTTAAATTAAATATCAAAAAGTTTCATCGCCCGGGATTTAGCTCAGTGGTGTCACCACCACCTGTCTTGCAAGCACAAGGTCCTGAGTTAGAATCCCAGTACCAAAAAAAAAAAAAAAAAGTTTTAAATCCTTTAAAGTACATATAGGACATTAAGAATATCAACACAACAAATATTTTTGAATATCTAGTTCTAGATATTGCTGTTTTAAAATCTCAGGATGTCCCTCCTGAAACCCATTTCTATCCTTTTCCTTTATCATGGGACACTCGCCTTCATTTTGTTTGATTCCACTGGCTCTACTTTTTCACTTTTGCATTGTGAAAAATATGACACATTCACAAGAGATGGTAAATTTTGTGCAGGTGGATGGATGATTAGGAAGTGAACCAGAAAACTGACTTAGAATCCTTCCATACCCGCTGATTCCTGTTCATTTCCTCCATTCCTCAGAGTCAGCTACTCTTCTGACTTTTGCAAAAATCCTTCTGCTAGCTGGGTGTGGGGGTGCATGTTAGTAATCTCAGTACTCCGGAAGGCTCAGGCAACAAGATCTCAAGTTTAAGCCCAGCCTGGGCAATTTAGCAAGACCCTCTCTCAAGACTAAAAACAAAGAGGGAGAGCAGGGACAAAGCAGTGTGCAGACTCTGGGTTTAATCCCCAGGACCAAGAAATAAACACAAAACCTCAACAAAACCCTGCTACTTATTCTTCACTGTTTTACTTTCTTTGTATGTATTCCTAAGTGATGCATAGCTTAGCTTTATTTGATTCAAAATGTAAACAAATGACATCATACTGTGTATATCTTGTGCAACCTAGTTTGGCTCACCCTTTAATGCTGATGTATGTATGAGAAGTATATTATTCTTCACCAAAGTTTAATGTTCAGGTATACAAATATACTATAATTTATCCATTCCAGTGTTGTAGGATATTCGAACTTTTGAAGTATTTTTTATTTTTATAAATAATGCTGCTATGAAGAATCATGTATAGTTCTCCAGATATATAGGAAACATTTTTCTCTAGTTATATTTTTATGAGTAGAATTTCTGGGTTGTTGTTGTTGTTGTTGTGTGTGTGTGTGTTTTTTGTGTTTAATAGTTTGAAGTGTGGCCCCCAAAATTTAATCTGGTTGTATCCATTTCCTTTCCACCAGGTGTGTATGAGACTTCTTTTGTTTTACCCCTTTAACAACTCTCAGTATTTTAAACTATGTACATTGAAGCTATAATTCAAATATCCCTAATTAAAGTTTAACATCCTTTTAAACAGCCAATTTTCTTGCTTATATAGTGTCCAAAATATCTTGCTCAGCTGTCTACAGAGTTGTCTTTTTATAACTATCGCTGGGAGATCTTTATTTTTCAGTTCTAGCTGCTACTCCTTGGTGAGCTCTGTTGTAAGATCTTCTTTCTGTGGTTTGTACTTCTATCTCTTGATGGTGTATTCGTGATCATTTCTCTTTTTTCTAGACAAAAATGTTTAGCGTTACTGAATTCTAATTCATATATCTTTTGTTTATGGTTAGTTGCATGAAATTATTTCCTACCAAAAATTCAGATAATGTATTATTTCTTATATTAATGCATTTAGTGCTATAACATTTCTCTCTAGGTACTGCCTTAGGTGGCATTCACATTGCAATATATAATTGTTTAGTTTTGAATGCCATGTTAAAATTTGTTTTCTTCACTGGTCCAAAGCCTACTTAAAAGTGTAGTTCTTCATTTCCAAAAGTCTTTCCAAAAGTTTCCTGTTTTTGTTGTTTTTCAGTTTGATTGTATTAATGGCTTAAGAACATGATCTGGATGCTTATTTCCTTTGAAAGTTTGAGATGTATTTATAGCATAGTACAGTATACGCCAATTGAAAATAAGTTGTGGTTAAATGAATATATTTTGCAATCATTAGAATATCTACACTCTAGATATTATAATGGATGTGTACTTAGTAGGTAACATTTCTTAGCTATATTCTTCAGATCTTATGCTCTAATTTTTCTTAGTCATGTTCTATCAACTTCTAGAAGAAGTCTGTTAAAGCCTTTCATTGTGATTGTGGTTCTGTTCATTTCTTTCTGGTTCTCTCCAATTTTTACTGTGTATGAATAAAACATGATATTAGGTAAATGTAAGTTACTTTATGTTTATCTTGTGGTATATTTAAGCTTTTATTATAACAAGGTAACGTTATCTCCAGTAATGCTTTTGTCTTGAAGTGTGTTATTTCTTTTGTTCAAATTTTCTTTTTTTTTTCCCCCTGGGTACTAGGGATTGAACTCAGGACCTTGTGCTTGCTAGGCAGGTGCAGCACCACTGAGCTAAATCCCTGGTCCCTTGTTCAGATTTTCTGTAGTGTAGCACTGCTGCCCATTTTTTATGTATAGATTTATGCTAACGTCACTTATAAACAGCCAGTAGTTGGACTCCTGTGTCCCTTACCTCATAAACTAGAATATTTAGTCTACTTTACATGTAGTGTAATTACTCTTACCTATCTACCAATTTGTTTTCTGCGTGCCAACCATTCTGTTTCCTTTCTCATATCTTTGTATTTTGATAGAGTATCTTTTCTCATTTTCGTCTGTCTTCATTTGTATGAGGTGTGATAAATATAGTAAATGTTTAAATTAAAAATGTATTACAATAAATGACATATTGCCATTAATCCTCCTCAAAATACTCCCCTCACATTGAACACACTTATCCCACCATCCTTTCCACTTTTTGAAGCAATGCTAGAAGTTATTTCTCCTAAGTGTTTTTAGTGACTCTGTCTTGATGTCCTGAATCAATTCAAAACGTTTACCTTTCATGATCAGTTTGACCTCAGGGAAGAGCCAGACAGAAGGTGAATAAGCCAGACTGGTGAATAGGGTGGATGAGGGCACACCACAGTGTTTTTACGTTTCATTGGATGGCAGATGGCAGCAGCATTCAAAGTATTTTTTATCATGAAGCTATGAAAGACGACTTCTAGAAGTGCTTTGGAAGGTGACAAGAATTCGGTGGGAAAAGCATATTCAAAACAAGAGAGAATATTTTAGGGGATATTAATGTGTCTTTTGTTGTAAACACAAATTTAAACATTCACTGTTTGGATCATTCCTCATAAACTCTTTTCATCTGCTAACTTATAGTCCGCGTAGCTTTTTATATCTAAATTTAATCAATAATATTGTTTTCTTCCTTGATTCTATAAGACCATAAGGCCTTTCAATCCCATGGATCAGCTCTAGCCACCTTATGTGCTGATTTTAATTTTAGTTTAAAATTTAAGACGAGCTTCAAATTTTGCTTACCTGACAGGGATGTAGCTCAGTGGCACCACACTCAATCTCCAGTCCACCCCCTCAAAAAAAATTTTTTTTTTGCTTGCCTGAATATGCATGTCTTGCCTTTATTTGTGTGTAAAATATTAGGTTGACTTTTTCAATCAGTATGTCAAATTATTCTTCTGCTTTTTATTTTTCTCCTTGCTAACTGGAAATTTAGTTGTCAATCACTCTGAAATAATTTTTCACCTCTCTGAGTATGTGTAGGAGGTTTTCAATGTATCTTTGGTGATTTTTCACTTACAATTTAAAATATGGTCTTCATGTTATTTCCCTTGGTGTTTGTGGGAAATTTGAATATATACTACTTGCATCCATTCTGGAACATCCTCAGCCATTATCTCCTCAAATATAGTACTGATTCTGGCTCATTCATCTCCTCCTTGAACATCAGTTATATACAGAGTACCACATGCAATAGAAAACTGTTGTTTTTAAGTTTTTAAAAATGATCACAGTTAAAGATGCATTGCCCCGAATCCTCTCAAAACCGCACTGCCGCAATGCACTTAGCCCATCGTCCTCGCCACTTTCTGAAGCAGTTCCGGAAGCCCTCTCTCGTGAGGGTCTTTAGCTGTGCCACCGTGGCTGCCTGGACATTCTGAATCAATTCCTTCCCTGCTGACTTTGACTTTTAAAAGATTCTGCAGTCCCCAAGTGCCAGATCCAGGAATAAAGCGGTTGAGGACCCACCATCGTGTCTTTGCAAGCCTGCCTTTTCTTTGGCGCTTGGCAGCAGTGATTACCTTATTTTTGACCCTACTTCACGAAGTCCTTCTGAGAGAGGGCTCCCAGAATTGCTTCAGAAAGTGGCGAGTATGACGGGATGAGTGTTGGAAGCGAAGGGGAGGATTCTGAGCTTCATGACAACGTGTAATTTACTTTTAAATTTTAAAAAAGTAAATGTTAACTGTGCTTCTTAACGATCCCTTACATTCCCTCTCATCCTCTACTCCAGGTGCCTTAACCACTCTGGTCTGTCTCCATTTTCTTGCTCTCTTTGCACA